GTGTCGCTTCCAACTTAAGCTCTAGGCTCCCTGCACCTCAGGATGACTGCACACAAACTGACCTGGGGGCCTCAGGTCAGATGGAAAGAGGCAGACAGGGCTCCTCCCTACCCCCTTCAGGCTAGCACTAGAAAGGACAGCTCCCACATGCCTCCCAAACCTCTGCCCTGACCTGGGGATAGCTAGTCTCGCTAGTCACTATATGTCCTATCCTGATGGCAGAGGCCGGCCAGGAGCACCTGTGTGGCAGGCATAGCTAGGAAGACCTGCATCTATAGTCATGGTCTTCAAGCCAGTCTGGAGCAGCAGCAGGCATTAGCATCACCTCATGAGTGCTTGTCCTAAGATGTGGCCAGACTCTACTGTTACCGGCCCTACCGCACCATACCACCTGGCCTGCAGAAGGTTCAAATGCTCACAGTCCTTAGTTAAGCAAAGTATCTTGAAGCAGCAGTTGGTGGAGTGCTCCTTGGAGGGGGAGAAGATGTTGGGTACTGAGTGACTGTAATCAACAGCCTATGAAAGAGACTCATGGTGTGTGTGTGAGGGTGACAAGAATGGTAGTGATAGCGATGGCCATGGGGGTTTGGCAGTGATGGTAATGCTGTGATGGTGGTGGTGGTAGTGGACACGGTGGTGATGGAGGGATGCAGTCTAGGTGGAGCTGATGGTGCTTAGAGTGGAGATGGTAATAGAGACATAGTGGTGATGGTGGAGGCGGCTATGATGATGGAGGAGCAGTGGTGATGGGGTTGATGGAGATGGTGGGGTGGTAGTATGGTAGAGGTGATGGTAGAGGTAATGGTGGTGATGGATGTGATAGAGTGCAGTCATGGTATAAGTGGTAATGGTGGTAAGGAAGGGGGAGCGGTGGAAGGATACAAAAATGTGGTGACGAGGGTGGAGGTGATAAATGGTGATGGAGAGGTGGTGGTGGAAGTTAGGATGAGGGTGCTAGACGTGGTGGAATTTGGGGATGGATAGAGGTTGCAGTGATGGTAGACGTGGGGCTGAAGATGGAGCTCAGTGGTGAGTACTTGCCTAGTATGTGCAATGCCCCGAGTTCCATCCCCAGACTGGATAAGATGGTGGATATGGTGTTGGTTGGAAGGGTAGTGGCTGTGTGGGTTATTTTCAGCCTATTTGTGTGTGTGCGCGCGCGCGCACATCGTCATAGCACGTGTGTGGAGGTCAAAGGACAACTCTGTGGAGTTGGTCTCTGTCAACCTTTGCATCGGTTCCAGGGATTGAACTTGGATCATCAGGCTTTCACAGCAAGCACTGTACCCTGCAGAGGCATCTTGATGGCCTCTTTTCAGCCTTTGACACCCTGTTGGTGACTCTGCCCCTTTGATGGGGGAATCCCCTGCCAAGGACCAGAATCTGCCTCCTACTTTGGAAGTGGAGGCTCCAGCCCTCATCTTCCTGCCTCCCCGAGGCTGAGGATACCTGACCCGGCCTTCCAGCTGTTCGCAGCAATATTAGGAAGCAGGGGTTTTGTAGAGGGCCATGCATAGGTGGGTAGAGATGAGATCTAGATTCAAGGCAGCTGGAGCAATGGTCTGGGCCTATTTGTCCTGGCCAGTGTCTATGGAGTGGCAGCCCAGCTTGATCTGTGCTCTCTTGTGGAAAGTCAGCTCTAAACCTGTTCCTTGCCAGGTGGTATCTATGAACACAGAGCTTCTTTGCTGTCCCTCCATGGCTCATGCCAGCTTGACTCTGCCCTCACTGGCACTGTGTTAACTTGGCACAGCTGTGAGCACTTGTTGCTGCCAGTAACAGACGGACTCAAGCAATTTCTCCACTAAATCCTAGCAGATACACCTTCACACATTGTCCAGAATTGAGCACCTCCTCCACTCAACCAACCCCTCAGGAGAGGTGAAACCATCATGACTCAGATCATCCTGGATTCAGGGCATTTCCCACTGCCAGGGCAGTCTCCTTAGAAGCAGGTGACTGTGAGGAGGAAGATGCTTGGACAGCATTCTGTCTGAAGGGGCAGGTGAGGTGTCCTGGGGACACAGCTACCCTGGCCTGAAAGGTGGAGATGGAGCAGTGGCTTAGATCTAGGCTGGTGCTGGTTAGCATGCCCCACCACAGTCCTTTGACATGGTTTTGCCCTCAGTCCCTGCAAGAGGCTCTTTGATGGAATGTCACTTTTCCTGTAGCCTCAAGCAGGTGTCCATGTGGGACACACCACCTGGACCTTCCCGCTGCCCTCGGCTCAACCAGGCAGCCAGGTACATGAGGTTGAGGCCTGTCTTTGGTTCCAACCACCCACACAGTTCAGTATTTGTTGCCAGAGTGATGGAGCTGGCAGGGGTGGGGACAGTGGTAAGGACTGTGGGACCCACCTCCTTGGGACATGCCCCACGCTCAGGCCAGTATAATTGATCGTGCTTCTCTGCACAGAAATGGTAATCTCTGGTGTGAGGGGTCCTGGGCACAGCTTTTGGGAGCTGGTGAAAGAGAGCAGATTTCAGTCTCCTCACTAAGTGGGGGGTCACTGTCTGGATGTCCCCCTCCTGTAAAAAGTTGAATCAGATATGGCCCCATCTTCAGACTCTGTCCCCCCCCAACCCCCCCACCTTACCTCCTTGAGCCCTTGAGTTTCACAGCTCTGCAACCTGCCACACCACTCAGAGAGGCCAGTTGCCATAGGGACATAGATGCAGTTTGTGGGAAGGAGGCAGAGTTAATGGAAAGATCTTGGGCAGAGTTCAGTGCCTGTTTGCTGCTCCAAGCCATGGAAACAGTTGTCCCGTCTGTCCTTTTAAAAAATATTTTATTTTGGGGATTGGGGGTTTAGCTCAGTGGTAGAGTGCTTGCCTAACAAGTGCAAGGCCCTGGGTTTGGTCCTTAGCTCTGGGGAAAAAAAAAATTTACTTTTTTTTTTTTTTCTGGTCTTTTTGAGACAGGGTCTCCCTGTAGCCCCAGCTGGTCTGGAACTCACTATGTAGACCAGGCTGGCCCTGAACTCACAGAGATCTGCCTGCCTCTTCCTACCAAGTGCTGGGATTAAAGGCGTGTGCCACTGAGCCTGGCCTTTATTATTTTTATTTTATGTGTGTGCATGTATTGCCTGTGTGTAGGTGAGTGCACCTGTGTTGTGCAATGCCCACAGAGAACAGAGAGGCTGTCGGATCGCCTGGAACTGGAGTTTCGGACAGTTGTTAGCTGCCATGTGGGTGCTGGGATTCAAACCTGGGTCTTCTGCAAGAGCAGTGTTCTTAACCGCTGAGCCATCTCTTCAGTCCCCTGTCTGTCCTTCTTACAGGAACCCTGGGCAACCTATAGGAACTGCAGGGCTCCTAGGAGACCAAGCACATGCTTGGGATGGGCTGGTTCCTAGGCCCTGGCTATGACCTGGGTCACCTTAGGGAGAGGTCAGAGACCCCATTGTGTCCCCCTGGCAGCTTAAGGGTGAGTTATAGAGGCAGGAACAAGCAGATTACTTGCTGACTAGTAGAATGGGGATTTGCTGGCACAAAAGATACTGGCTCAGGGGTGTGGGAAGAGCTGGGCTAGGGATCCATCCCTTTCAGGTTTTATGTGAGGTGCACTAGTGCATGGGTGGCCCCAGGGCCGGGCTCCCAGACCCTCTGGGAGGTGGCTTCCAAATCTCAAACCCAGAGGGCTCTAAGTCTCTGTCAGGCTTCAAGAGTAGTCCAAAGCGTGCTTCCCCAGCTCTTGCCTCCCAGGAGAGGTTTGAGAGACTTCATCTTTTCCCTCCAGGAGTCAACGTCTCAGCCAATCAGGATGAAGAACTGGACCATGAGACCTTTCTGATGCAAATTGACCAAGAGACAAAGAAGTGTACTTTCTATTCCAGCACTGGGGGCTACTGGACCCTGGTCACTCATGGGGGCATTCAGGCCACAGCCACACAAGTGTGAGTGCACCTGTCCTTGCTACTATCACCACCACCATCACCTCTACCACCTCTATTGCTGTTGCCTGCGCCATCACCACTATTATCACTACTCTTAACCACTGTCACCATCACCTCCATCACTAGCTCAACCATGAGGATTGCAGCCCCATCAGGAAAGAATGCTGGGGGTGGAGACTAGCTCCTGATGGCCGTGACTGCGTTTGTGGAGGGCAGGCTTCTGTCCCACCCCCTGGAACCTAAGGGGATGGTGGGGAACTCAAACACCACACCTCCATCTCCTGCTACTCTGAGACCTTGTTGTGTTCCCTCCAGTTCTGCCAACACCATGTTTGAAATGGAATGGCATGGACGGCGGGTGGCACTTAAAGCCGGCAATGGACGCTACATATGTATGAAGAAAAATGGGCAGCTGGCAGCCATCAGTGATTTTGTGGGTGAGAACTCCTCGCAGCAGTGGGCTGGGGTGGCTCGCCACCGGAGGTTAGTGCGGCTCAGAGGCACATCTCCCCTCCCCCAAGGAACTGCTGCTGCCAGGGGCAAGTTCTTGCCACACTAGATGGTCCATGGGTGTCTTCCTTTGTTGCCTCTGGGGAGTCCTGGGAGCCTCCTCAAGGCTCTGAACATCCGGGTACCCGCAGGTTCCACGGGGTTAGGCTCCCTGCCATATAGCACACCAGACAATGGCAGACCTGGGCTCTCCAGGCCAGGGCTGTGGCATTTCCCAGGGCGCCAAGGCCTGGACGGGGCAGGTGGGCAGGGCAGGCCCACAGCGCCCTCTCCCGCAGGCGAGGACGAGGAGTTCATCCTCAAGCTCATCAACCGACCCATCCTGGTGCTGCGCGGCCTGGACGGCTTCGTCTGCCAGCGCCGAGGCTCCAACCAGCTGGACACCAACCGCTCCACCTACGACGTCTTCCACCTGGGCTTCCGCGACGGCGCCTACCAGATCCGAGGTGCGGGAGCTAGGGGCGGGGGGCGCGGGAGCTAGCGGTGCGGGGATGGGGTGCACGGGCCCCTGCCGACCCCTGGCCCCCGCCAACCCCAGGCCGCGGAGGGTTCTGGTACACCGGCAGCCACGGCAGCGTGTGCGGCGACGGCGAGCGGGCCGAGGACTTCCTCTTCGAGTTCCGGGAGCGAGGTCGCCTGGCCATCCGCGCGCTCAGCGGCAAGTACCTGCGCGGCGGCGCGGCGGGGCTGCTGCGCGCAGACGCGGACCTGCCTGTGGGGGATGCGCTCTGGGAGTACTGAGGCCCCGGTGGAAGGCAGCTGGACCCTGCGGAACACCTGGGTGTACCGGGCCCGGCCTACCCAGCATTAAACAGTCTATCGCGCAGCTACTGTGGGCTTGCGCCGCCCCGCGGTGGAGTGGGAGGGCGGGGAAGGGCCTGGTCCCTGTGGCCAGCAGCCCATTCCCGGAAAACCCCTTGCCCTTCTGTGCGGAATCTCCGGAGTCCTCTTATGAACCTCAGGGCAAGGGCCATGGCTGGAAAGGACCAGGAAAGCCTCTCATCCTGGGCTGGCTCTGTCCCCTCATCATCCCGAGTGGCTGCCATATCTCTGTTCGGACGAAGGAAGGACACTCAAACCTCAGCTGACATGACCCATTTGGGGTCTTAAGTCTCCTAGTGAGTCCACTGCCCAGGACAGATGAGACCGAGGGAGAGGTGCACGACTAGGCGAGGAGCCAGTGTGTGGTGCGTTGCGGTGTCTACAGCTAGCTGGGAGGGAAAGTGGCTGGACACTGAACCCTAACTCTTAGGAATAGGGGACTGCCCTTGGAGCCCCCAGAGGGGGAGAGTCACTTGCCAGGGCACAATCCTATCAACTCTCCGACAGACTCCAGCAGCCTGAGTGGGCCAGGTGGTCCTGTGGCCTGCAGTGACCCTGGGTACCAGGCAGGGCTGGCATGTACAGGGACATCAGGGAGGTGCTGGGCAAGGTTAAGGCACAGTTGGAATGGTGGTGGCTTTTACTCCAGGTGACAGCTCAGCAAGGTACCCAGGCTCAGCCAGCATACTGGGCCTTCAGCCCTTACAGCCATCTAACCTGGTGCGGGCACCACTGGTTCTCCAGTGTCAACGACAGCAAGCCAAAGCTCAGATGCGGGTTGTGCCACATACCCAGCAAGGCTGTGGAGGCGGGACAGCATCACTAGCTGGGCAGACAGCAGTCCTTTGGGACTTGCATTCCCAGGATCTGCTGGGGTCTGGGACCTACAGTGCTGAGTGGGGATACTAGGTATGTCAAGTCTGACAGACAGAAGCCAGCCCAGCCAGGGGACCCATCTGTGATTGTCCTATGGGCTGGTCCAACCCTTCATAACTTGTTCAGAGCCAGGCACGGCCATGCACACTACGTAATGGGCTGGAGGCTCCCACTTGGGAGGTGACAGTGGCTTTGGGTGTGGCTGTGGACAGGGCTCTTAGCAGGCCAGCAGAGGCCAAGGTAAACCAGTGAACAGGAAGGAGAGCCTTGTTACAAAGGCCAGGCTTGGTAGACTCGAGTGTTGTCAGAAGTGGGCCCATTCCATCTCCATCTGCCTCCACAGGGAATTCTGGGATGGATAAGCACCTGAGAAAATGCCCTCTGCAGTGAGGGAGGCAGGAGCCAGTGCCTCAGTCTGCTGAGACCTTGAGGGGCAGATCTTTGGCCCCGAAATGGCTAGAGTAGCCCTAGAGGAGGGTGTCTGGGCACTGTGAAGAATGCCCGTCAGAGACCCAAGAAGTCTCTTGAACAGCAGCTGGGAGGCTCCACCTCCCGAGCGGCACAGATTGTGGTTGAGCCTGCAACAGGATGAGGGCAGGAAGCACCCCCCTGAAAGAGCAAAACAAAAAAACAGCTGACAGCTGGAGCTTAGTGCAAAGGGTAGCTTGTCAACCCAGCACCTCTCAGAACTCAACAGGAGTGGACACAAAACTCCACAAAGTCCACACATGCGCCTCTCCCATAGTGAAATCAGCACCAGCAGCCAGGCACTGCCCAGCGGAGAAAGGAGGCTGGAACATGGGGCTGCCCCGCCCACAGGTGACCCAAAAAACAGCACAGTGCTGGAGGCAGCCTGAGCCAGTCTTTGTGCTTTGGTTGCAGTGAGCACTCCTGGGATGTGTGTGGGGGGGATCAGCAGTAAGTCCAAACCCACAAGACCAGACCCCAGAAACCATGTGTCCACGGCCCGCCTACTTGGACAATGATGCTTCCCATCTGGGGTGCAGAGGTTCCAGTGGAGGGGCACTGCCAGAAAAACCCCAACACACTGGCAGGAGGCATGTCCAGTAGTGACCTGGAGCTGGCCAGCAGCTGTCAAGAGAAAGAGGAGTGAGGGGCAGCAGATCCTGGTGGGTTCTGATGCTGCCTGGATCCACCCTGTTTCCGCAGCCTTTCTGACCCTGGCTAGCCAGGAGGGGTGACCACCTGAGCCAGGGGATGGAAGAGTAGCCTTTTCCATTCCAGGCAAACCCCTAACGGTTCTTGGTGTCGTCAGCACACTGGAGGAAGTGGGGACAGAGGCCCAGGACCCACCTGGTCACAACAAGACAAGGCTAGGGTTGCGCAACTGTTTGTACACTTGCAGGAGCTTCTGGGCTGCAGTGTAGGAGCTGACCTCGTCCTCTGTGCACAGCTGGTCACGCAGTGTCTGCACCTCACGAAGCAAGGCCTGCGGGCAGGTAGCACAGCTCAGGCCCTGTGCCTCTGCCTAGCATGTCTGGAACTTGGGAGTTTATTGGGTGGTTCAAGAAAAATAACAATGAGGGGGCTGGAGAGCTGGGTCAGTGATTAAGAGCACTGCCTGCTCTTGCAGAAGACCCAGGTTTGAATCACCGCACCCACAAGACAGCTAACAACCCTCCGTAACTCTGGTTTCGGGGGATCCATGCCCTCTTTCAGCCTCCATGGGCAATGCACGACATGGGTGCACTTACATATATGCAGGCTTAACATTCATACACTTTTTAAAAAAAACAATGGTCCAAGTGACCCATGTGACAGCTAGGTGGGTGGCCAAGTGAACAGGCAGTCAGACATGACTATACCCATTCAGGTCCTGTCCAGCCCCACATGGCTGATGTCTTCAGAGCACCTGCATCTCCGGGTGCTAGCTAGGGACACTCACTGCTCAGGCACTGGGGCTCACCTGGTGGTTGGCGTGGATCTGATGGAGATACTGCATGCGGAGATCAGGTGGGCTGGATCCATGGGCTGCTTGCTCTGTGATCATTGTCTGAGAACACAGGGGTGCGGGGCTAGAAAGCAGTTCTCAACTGTCCTGAGGTAGATGCCTGGATCTAGAGACCACAGGCCTCATGCCTCTCAGAGCATGGTGGGTACTTCTTACCTGTTCCCGTAAACGTTCCCTCCTGGCCTCCTGTGGAGACCCCACTCCCTCACCCCCATGTTCTTATCCTGTTCACCAGGACTTTCCTGGTCAGACCAGCAGGAGCACCCGCCAGGTAGTTTGGTTTTTTTGTTTGTTTTTATGTATGTGAGTGTATTGCCTGCATGTAGGTAGGTGCACCCCTGTAGTGCAGTGCCTGTGGAAGCCAGAAGAGGGCATGAGATGCCTGGGAACGGGAGTAATGGATAGTTATTAGCCACCATGTAGGTGCTGGGAATTGAACCTGGGTCCTCTGTGAGAACAGCCAGTGCTCTTAACTGCTGAGCCATTTCTCTAGCCCCCAAAGAGCTTTTTAAGCGTGAAATCCAAATCTCCCTTCTGTGGCTAAGACTAACCTTGGGCTGGCCTTAGCAGGCCTCCCCACCCCTCACCCCTCACTCACCCCTCCCTAATCCATTCCCTCATTCCCTTTGCCAGCTCCTTTAGGGCTGGGCATTCACTCTTGTTCTGTGAAGGAGATCTAATCTAGCTCACTAAATGTGACACACTGGGCTTTTCAGGGTGTAAGCAAAGCCTCTTGGAGCAGACGTGCCTGGGCCAAGGATCCACCCAGAGTCCTGTGAGCACTGCTTGTGTGGAAGCTAACATCTGGGCAAGTCCTAGGGGTGTGCTATGATCATGTAGGCTGTGAGCAGCCAATCCTGCCCACAGGGCTGAGTGGCACGCTGGGGAAAGTTGCACATGTAATCACATCAGAGACTCAGCTGTGTGCCCTCAAATTCACACATGGACATTCTAAGCCTAGCTCCTCTGAATGCAGCTGTTTTGAAATGGGATCTTTGCAGATGACCAAGATAAAGGCACTAGGGTGGCCCTAATCTCATGCGAGCATGCCCTTATAAGGGGAGATTTAGGCAAAAGGTGACAAAAGTTCTTGGAGACTGGGTGTCTTATGGGCAGAGTCCACTGCCCTGGAGACCACTCCACCATCCCACAATGGGATGAGGACCAGACTCCTGAACGTGGCACGAAGCTACACATTTGTCACTGTTAGACCACTCGCTGTGCAGGTAAACTTCACAATTGGCTCAGGACAAGGTAATCAAGCCACTGGGAGTCATGTGCTAGGAGAGCATCAGACAGGACATTCAGCTCTGATGGCAGCTAGCACCCCGCCCAGCTGAAGCAGAGCCTGGGTTCACAGAGCATCTGTCAGTCATCTGGTCCTGATTCTCAAGGGAAGCAGCTCGAGAGCATAGAGGGACAAGTTCCGAGGTGAGGTTGATGGAGGGTCAGTCAGGAACTAGGTGGCCACTGCTGACCCTGCTTTAGGGCTGGACTGCACCAGTCACAAGTATGTGGTAGGTGCTCTCACAGAATCTCCCTGATGAGCACCAGATGGCACTCAGGGCCAGGGAGCTTTTCAGACGTGGGAGCAGCTGACCTGAGTAGGCAAAAGGCAGAGCACCAAAGTGGCTTCTCCTCACTAACGACCTCCACGGGCTGCTCACTCTACTCAGCAGCAGGCACCGTGGCCCCTGGACCCACACCTGAGGGCTCAGCCAGGGACCAGGCAAGTGACGATGAAACTGATCAACCACATGGACTCAGTCCTCTCTGGACTTGGGGATGACACGGGGTGACAGCACACCTGGAGGGGAACATCTGTTTGCTGAGAGGCCTCACATATGCTCTTCCCCCTCGTAAGGGGTCATGGGCCCATGCTGCCCACAGCCATGTGGGCCCACACGGGGAAACGTACACAGCTACCTACTGCCTTGAGTCTCCTTCCCCACTACACCCTCCCCCTGCTGACTGTCGTACCTGCATGCGTCTGATGATGGCATGGTGTGCCCTGCACATGTCAGCTAGAGAGGAGCTCTCCACTTGGATCTCCACAGCCTGGATGGGCCCTGCGGGGCTCAGATCAGTCACAGCCACCTGCAATGTGAGAGGAGCCTTGCTGCTGGCCCAAGCATGGCCCCAGTACTCTGCCTGGGCTGTTCTTTACACAGGTTGGAGAACCAGCTTAGAACCAACAGTAAGAAACTGGTCTGCTGAGGATAGACGTTATCAGGATGACTCGGAACCCTATGCCGTGCACCACCACCTCTAGCTGCACCTGGACCCAGGCTCAATCTGGCTCTATGCTAGGCAACATGGCTTTCTTCTGGCAGGGTAACTTTAGTGTGAACACAGGGAGCTGAAGAGTTTGTCTACAGACATCCCTGACTGCTGAGCTGGACAGTCCGAGAGCTGGGTGGTCCTGGCTTGCTCTCCACACGGTGGCACAAGACAAACCCAGAGCCTGGTGATTATAGGAAGGCCTTGGCTACCAATGTCTCCTCCATGGGGCTTCAGGCACTGACTCTCCATTGATCAGAGCCACTGCCAGTCCCCAGCCTTGGCCCAGGATCGCTTGACCCAGATGCCAGCCTCAGCCTCACTTCACAGGGTGGACAGAGTTGGATCAGTCTTCCCAGGGACCTGGTCTGGGTGGGGCAGGGATGACACGTTCCCACGTGAGGGTGACGGACAAGTTAAGAACATTATTCATGAATGGCCCAGGGACCCACTGATCATGTGAGTCCTGAGGCCCATCTTCCCAAGCACAGAAAAGTGGGCCTGCTTGCCTCACGGACAATGAGGTGAAAGTCAGTGCCATCTGGAGCAACTCCCTGGATGGAAGATAGAGCGCTGGCCCTCACAACGTCTACAGCCACATTCTCAGCAAGGAGCCACTGCAAGGTGGCGCTGCACAGGGAGAAGCCTGGAAGAGAGAGACACCCACCACGGCTCGAGAAGGTCCTGCTAAATGGTGCCTGTGTGGCTGCCCTCAGATGCTCCCTCCCCAGTAGCACCTAAAGGTCCCAACTGCCCATAGCCCAACCCCAAGCAGGGAGCTAGGTGAGTTACCCAAGATGCAGGTAGTAGAGACTGGGCCTAGGGTTAGAACCTCACTCAGGGGAGGTGCTACAAGGCACAGGGCATGGTCCTAAGACAGGCAGCTGCACTGTGTGCAGACAAACACTGTGCCAGAGGCTGCAGCCACCCCCCAACACCAGACTGAACCAGATACATGACCCAACATCCACTGGGAGCAGGATAGGGAACTGACAGCTTCCGCCCCACACAGCACAAAGATCTCTGCACAGAGTGTGGGCAAAACCTGAGCTCAGCACTGTCACAGAGCTCAGCAGACCAGCTTTCAGTCAGGAGGCCCTCATATGCAGCCTGTGAACTCACCAAGCTGCCCGCCTGTGATGCCTGCTTCTGCATAGGTTACGCTTCCGTTTTTTTTTTTTTTTTTTGGGTTTTTTTAGAAAGGGTCTCCCT